ATAAAAGGGTAATTTTCAAATAAGACTATACATACATTATGTTAACCATCAGCATTTCATAAATCGGATGTCACACACCGGGAAATTCGACTTTTTCCAAAAATTCTCAAATTTTACAGGAATAAAGATCTCAACAAGTAGAGTAAACTATATACATATGGCCAAGTCCAATTTGGCCGGGAAGGCCCTCAGATTGACTCGCACCCGTCGAAAACCCTAAGGTGGGTGTTCTTCAATTCGGCTTCCTCGGTGTTCCAACGCCCCTACAACTGATTGGGTCTTGTTCTTGGGTCCAAGAGAAGTTGATCAAGGGTGATGGTGAATGGTGATACTCACCGGAACGACGAATCGCCATCGAGAACCCCCGGGAGCTCTACCCGAATTTGGCCTTAAAAGCCCTTCAATTTGAGCGAATAAGGTAGATGAGAGGTTGTGGAATAAGTTGCAGGTGGTGAATGGGTGCAAAAGACCTGAAAAATGAAAGGATTTTGGCCTGAAATTGGCCAGGTCGAAACCCCCCCTTTTTTTTTCTTTTGGGTGCACGGGTTGACAGAAAATGGGGGGGGGGGAATTCTTTCCCTCTTTTGTTTTTCTTTCTTCACTCGCCACTCCTGTGGCTTTCTTTCTTTGTCTTTTTTTTTTTTTTTTAAAGCAACACACCTTCAAACGTCGATAATTATACCGTTATAACTCGGACTTGCAAACGGCTTTCGCCTATGTGTTCGTGGGTTCGAGATCTATTTAAAAACACTAGTTAAAACTTCGAAAAGTCAACGGAAGATAAAGATTGATTTCGAAAATTCAAACCTGATAACTATTTGATTTAATTCCCAAAATTTACAGAATTAAAATTAAGTAATAAAAATAACGTAAACGTGAAATACGAACTTAAATTACGAGATACATAATGAATAGTGAAATTTCGGGGACGGGATTTCACACTATTGGTTGAGATCGATTAATAATGTTGAGATATTGTTCCTTATATAAGCCTAATTTTGATACATAGATTGGTTTATTTTGTCCAAACCAACTATTTTGTGACTCAACAAATTTGTTTGAGAAATTTTAATGTTGGCCATATTAAAGGTTATTTATCTAATGAAATGAACCTTTAATTTATTTAAGAAATTTTAGTGTTTTGAGCATATTAAAGATTGTAAATTGGTTTTATTTAAATTATGAATAAATTTAAAATTTTGGTAGAGCTTGGGAAATATTGATGGAGTTTTGCATACCTTGAAACGTGTCCCATTTGATTACGATTTTGATAGATTTTCCTAACTCCAAACTTTGTGAAATTTTTCATGTTGTATTATATAATGGATTGTATACACAGAAAAATTTCATCATTTTTGTACAAGAAATGCATTTATGCTAAATTTTTAAGTGTGATACTATGTTGCTGGAATTTTGCAGCATAATATGTTAGTGATATTATTTTGATATACCTACGCAACTCCAAAATTCATGAAATTTTAGTATGATATACATTGAGAAGTTTGTTTTTTTTTAATATGAAAATTTTCACGAACATTGGTTTGAAAATGAATTATTGGTGAATTTTTAATCTCAAGCTGCAGAATTTATGCGGTTTCTGCTGCACATTCCATTTAGATTTTATTGTTAGCCCACTTGTAAAATCGAAAACAATTATGTAATTTTTAGTGACAGTAAATTTATGTGTACTTCATTTCTGGAAATTTTCATGCATATTGGAGGAAGATTGAATTTTTTGTGAATTGTTTAGTCTCCAGTATGTACTGCAGAATTTTTGCCGTTTCTGCAGCACATCCCATTTCTAATTTTCTTTTAGTATACTTGTAAAGTCTAAAAAATTATGAAATTTTGGGAATTAACAGATTTTTATTTTTAATTTATGTCTGAAAATTTTCATGCATATCGGATGAACAATGAATATTTGGTGAATTTGTAATCTCAGGTGTACTGAACATTTTCTGCAGTTTCTAAAGCACCTCTCTTTTCAAATTCATTTTTGGCTCGCTTAAAATTTTAAAAATCATGAAATTTTGTGAAATAGTAACCATATATGTCTAGTGCATACCTAAAAATTTTCATGACAATCTAAAGAGAATTGATTTTTTAGTGAATTTGCAAACTAGAGTAGTATTGCCGAATTTTGGTACTTCAAAACTAGTTTTGTTATGTGATATTGTTTCACTGATTTGTGCACATCAATTGGTACCACTTATTATACAAGTTTATGGTTCCAATATGTCCTTATTTTATGCAAATTCTCAATACTAATGAATTTTATAGACAACACTGATTAAATTTTGATTTAAAGATGTATTGGTTTCTTTTGCTTAAACCAATGTTTTGTTGGGTCATCAATTCTGATTATGATGATAATTGTTTTTTTAGAGAAAATTGGAAGGTTACATTAGTTTATTAATTGATCATTTTGGTCTCTATCGAATAACTAAATAACCATGTTTCCTCTTTCGAGAACTCTATTGTTCAATTTCAACAACGACATACTTTTGTGTCTGATTGAATCTTTTGAGAATCATTGAATATCCAACAAAACGGTTATTTAATAATGTTCTAAAGGATTATTTTGAAAAATCAGAATTCTAATTTATATGGTGAATACTTTTGTCCCAATGGGAATTTCAGGAAATCACTCACCAATTATAAATTAGTATTATAGCAAATCATAAAGTACTTCTAATAACATATTTTCATCTGGCCAAAGCTATTGAAGCTATATTTATTTTGTGTATTTTATGTTTTGGCTAGCTTTGCAGGTATTTTCTTTGCATGATTAGTTTCTGCCCAAAGGTGTAACAATCATGCAATTTGCAATTGGTTCGATCGTCCACAACTCGAATACTTCCATGATGAATCTTGCAGAATCGAGAATGAGTAGGTAAATTTGCAAAATCTTTTGCCTTAATTTTCTTTGAGTTCTAAATTGGATTAAAATTATTGTTGAAAATTTGATGTTATTGAGATATCTAAGTTTTTATTTTAATCGACTTTGTTTTAGAATTAAAACATAAATTTTGAGTTTGGATTCTGTTATTAGGTTTCATTTTAATGTATGACCTAATCTTTAACGTATATGTGAGTCTTCTCTCATACACTAAAATAAAATTTGTAGTCATTGCATAAGTTTTTTTATTTATGGAACTTTTTAATTCTAACCTACTTTAAAAAAAAATTATGTATTTGATCTTTATTGATTCAACTAGCCTATATTTTGTTATATGAAAACCACTTTCTCTAGTGGTTAATCTTGCAATTTTGAGTGTTTGCCCAAGTGGGAGAAATAATGTATTATGAGCTTCACACTCATCAATTTTGCATGCTTTTAATGGTCATAGTTTTGGTAGATAAAACATACATTATCATACTTGTTTATATTTTATTTGTTATATATGTAACTAATCTTGCAAGAAATTTAAGAAGGGTTAATGAGTATATTCTACTCAAAAGTGTTTGCTTATTAATTCTTGTTTGTTGTTCAAGAAATCGGACTTGTGATTTATATGTTATTGATGGATAATTAATCTGCTCAAAAGTGTTTTCTTATTCAGTACAACTATAAATCAATGTATAGTGAAGCATAGAATTGACAAGATTGTATATACTTCATCTGCTCAAAAGTGTTGAAGTTATATACGTTTGCCCTTGTATTTTATGTTTTAGCTATGCAAACCTAATATAATTAGTTTCTGTCCAAAGATGATTATGGAATTATATGCTTTTGATGCAATAAGAAAAGATTTAGTTAAAGTTTTTATTTCTGTCAAATGTTAGATGAACAAAATTGACCAAAAGATTTTGTATAGTTTTTTAATCACAAGAGTCATTTCCCTACAGATATCTAGCATAAAGATGTTGAGCTCACAAATTTTATGTTTTAGATCCCACGACTAATGTTTTGCTAACGGGAGTATTTGAAAGGTATCTGTTTCATTTTGTAGACATTTACAAAGTTTTTTTTTACTCTCTTAATGAGTGGGAGTAAAAGTTGAAAAATTGAAGTATTTAACTATTTTGGTTAGTGGGAGTAAAAGCTTGCCTTTTGTTTTGAAATATTGAAGTGTGAGTGGTTGATACTTTAAGGGCTTGTTTAAACTTTTGTTCATAAGTTTTAATGAGAAATCCTAATTTTGTTATTATATCAGATTGTTTAAATTGACAGAAATTCGTGCAAGGAACTCATGCTAGAGTTCATTTTGTTTAGTGAAACAAATATTTGGTTCATCAGTTTCAGACACCATGGCATAGTCTGCAGCTATATGCTTGGATTGAATGTGCATGTGATTATAGAGCACAAATGCATAAAAATATGCATTTGGATTTCTATAGTTCTACATTCAGTTTGAGTAATAGTTGTCTTTTGAGGGAAAACTGTTGTATCTTTGGTTCAGTGATCACTGTGATTCTTGTTGCAATCAAATTGTTGGTATTGACACTCAAAGTGGGAGAATGTAAGATTCATGTTGAGTTGTCAATTATTATGAATTGAATTACTTGAAAGACAAATAACTTGATCTTCAAGATATTTGGCTTTTAACGTGATTGAATATTGGTTAGCAAGAATCATGGAACCAAGATATAATTAGTTGACTAATTGAAACCCTAATTAAGTAAGACATATTGTACATGCCTTGGTGGGACAACATTAAGAATAAATGGTGATTTGGTGTATTCCTCTAATTACAATAATAGGCGGAATTGGAGGAACCCTAATCACTATATTAAGGGTGTCCCTGCTTTCACAAAATACACGTTCCATTCCGAGCAAACCTTATTATTGCTGGAACACTTCCGCTTGTTGAAAGTAGAAGACCCATTTCTCATCCGCAAGAGTCATGTTTTCTATATTCCCAAGATAAGTAAATTGTAAATGATTTATTGTGATTATGGTTTATCAAATCCGTGATCCTAATGTTTTGTTGTTCTTATGATTTCAGAAATATCGTACACGGCTGATACCATGTCTGTAAATTTTGTTATTGTCTAGAGATGATTGTATATATAAGAATATATTACAATACGTAACAGTAACAGCTTATCTATTCACACTATCTAGGGTATACTTCAGTGATAGATCCTTCATAAACGGACGGAGATGACTTGCTGATAGATTGAGCAGAGTCCAGCGTTGCCTCTAACATGTTTCCCATTGCTCTACTTTGGAGGAAAAATGCCGGTTGTTGAGGTAATGGCAGAGTAACAGAGTAGCTATTGAGCATGAGAACTACCGATTGCATTGTCGGCCTGTCAGCTGGATCTTCCTGAACACAAAGTAAGCCGATGTGGATGCATCTAATTACTTCAGTCCTCGAATAAGAGTCCCACAGACACGGATCCAACAATTCCAAAGGTGCCCCATCTCTCCATAACTTCCAAGCCTGCATAAAATTCAAAAGTTTAATTCATGATGCTATGTCAATGCAGGAGAACAGAACACTACACTTTTCATTTCAAGCTTACATGGCTCATGAGGTCCTCAGCTGCATCAGTCTGAAAGAAGTAACTGTTCTTCTTGCCACTGATGATTTCTAGAACTAAAACACCGAAACTATACAGATCGGACTTGATAGAAAAATGTCCGTGCATTGCATACTCAGGAGACATATAACCACTACAAGGAGCATAACCATCAGTATAGAAATTATAACAAAGATGTAACGAGAAAACATTTCAGATTCAATTCGATAATTGCAAAACAAAAGTGGTCGTGACAAAAGAATGAAATAGGTAACTTACTATGTTCCGACAATTCTATTTGTGCTTGCTTGAGTTTGATCAACCCCAAATATCCTGGCCATGCCAAAATCAGATATTTTTGGATGCATCTCCCCATCTAACAATATATTGCTGGCTTTAAGATCACGATGTATAATTCTAAGTTGGGAATCTTCATGCAGGTACATGATTCCTCGAGCAATTCCTGAAATAATCTTGTAACGTCTTGACCAATCCAATTGCCCCTGTTTCTCAGGGTCTGCAAATCATCAAAATCAAGTTATCATCGACGAATTGCTATTGCAATAGGGAAAGATTATCAGATGTTTGAGTGTACAAACCAAATAGGAAACAGTCGAGGCTTTTGTTGAGCACATATTCATAAACAAGAATCTTTTCTTCGCCTTCCAAGCAAAATCCCAATAGCCTAACCAAATTTCGGTGTTGAAGCTTGGCTACCAATACCATCTCGTTCTTAAACTCTTCTGTGCCTTGGCCAGAGTTCCTTGATAGCCTCTTCACAGCTACTTCTTGACCGTTAAAAAGTGTACCCTGCGAGAAAACTTCAATCAAACAATGGAATGTCCACTCATGGCATTCATGGACGGCTTATGAGGCTCCAAAATTATTCAGATTTTGCATGCATAAAAGTTGGAACTTTGTAGACCTGAAGGAGCACTCATGTCATATATGTTGGAAGTTTTGAGACTCTTGTCCCACATTGGTGAAAACAAGATTCCAAAGTACCTTTATATACTTTTTGTCTTCTACAATATTAGTTATGTGTTGGACCACTTGGAATGGGAATTGAGGCTTGGGCCACCATTTCTGTGGATTGGGCTTGATGATTATACCATAATATTAATATTAATTAATCAAGACAAGGGCCTTGGGGCACTTGGGGCCTAAGAATTAAAATTAATCTGATCAATTAGTTTTAATTTCGAATTAAGTTTTTAATTAAATTAATTAAAAACATTTTGATTAAAGATACAACCTTTTGTAAAGAGTTGTAAAGCTTCAGATACATCCAAAAGGTATTTGAAGAGGTATGAAAGAACCTATATAACTGGAGTCCTCAGTTCATCATCAATCATCCTTTCTTCTTCCTTTTCTTCCGTACAAACTTTCCAGAGAGAGTAAACACACAAAGCAATTCGCTAGAATTCTATAATCCAGTGCGGGTTGTAGGATTAGGTAGTTGTATCCTAGTCGAGCAGACGTTGTAGAACCACAAGCACAAGTGTGGGACGGAATTACTGTTCGAAGGACATAGCTTTTACGCTAGCCTCTACCTTCTGTAATCAAGTTAGTACTTTTGATATTCTTATATTTAATTTTCTGTAGTCGTTGTGTATCATTCTGTATTGTAAGTATTTTTTAGTAATAAAGTATAAATATTTTAAGTTCTGTATTTCTGTTATTTCTGTTTCTAAATTGTTCTCCAACAATATACTGATTAACATACCTTGTAAACTTGACCGAAACCACCTTCGCCTAACTTGTGATCATCGGAGAAATTGCTCGTAGCTGATTGGATGGTAGCAAAATCAAATTGCAAAGACTCGACAGTAGTAATGTCATTCTCACCTGCACAACCAACCAAACCATAGAAGCATAATGTTTATGGGCGAGGAATAAATGCAAGGAGAATCAACGAGAATAAACAAGAGGAGGATCGCAGAAGGATATATTTGTTTACCGCTTGGTTCGTCTGCTGCTGCTTGATTGTACTTCTTTCTTGCTCTCCTAGTTATGCAACAGTAACCCACAACGAAAAGTAGCACAGATACAGATATTGGTACAGCAATGGCAACAATTGTACTAGTTGGGATTTTGCTTTTTCCTGTAAAATAAAAAAATATATATTGAGAAATTGGTAAAATCAACAGCCACAGGACAACACCATATTCCCCTGTTCCAATAAACTACCCAATAAACTAATCTGATAATACAAGAATCACTTGATTGGGGCTTTTAAAATGTTTGTTCACTATACCTTTAGGCGGAGGAGCCCCTGGTGCAGGCGCAGGTGCTGTGGCGTTCTCGGCGTAGAAGGGGTAGATTTCATACCTAACGTTACAACTCGGAAACAGAACTCGTCCCCCTTGCTTTCCGCTACAACAAATCGGCAATCGCCTTATGGCCTCCCTAAAGCACCGGTCGCAAGCAGCCGCGGACAGGTCCTGCGTGCACTGCCCGAGGCTGTACAGCGTAATCAGATCAGTGAACTTCGCTTGTTTTGTCGCGAACTTGTCCGTGTCGTTGGCAGCCTCGGTAGCCACCTCGTTCATACTCGCCGCCACCACCTGGTTGAACCGAGTCTGTTCCGTTGTTACGTTCTGCGTATTCCACTGATACATGCCAGGCGATTCGGCCGAGGTGGAAAAGAATGACTCGTTGGAGTACCGTAGCATGCAGTCGTCGTACCAGATCACCACCTGTTTTTCTATGTGGCAGCGTTCTGGGGCCTGGGCGGTTGCGGTGGCGACACAGTTTTCGCAAGCGTCGGTGGCTACGACGTCACCGCGGCAGAGGAAGAGGCCGTAGACGGCGTTGTTTGGGGTTTGGACGGAGGCGTTGTAGAAGCCCGTGGAGCGGTTGGCGTTGGAGGAGAGGGTGGAGAGGAGGCGGTTGAGGTTGGACTGGAAGGTGGAGTTTGGGGTGAAGGTGGTGGTGTTTGGGCAGGCGTGGTAGAGATAATCTGCTTCCGTATTGGTGAGAAAGCTGGGCAGAGTAAAAATGGAGAAAATCAAAAGAAGGGTAGTCATGCTTTTCATTTTTTGGTGATTCATAGTAACATCATAGGTTTTTTAACTGAATATTAACAAGAGCAATGCAGGGGTGGTAGCAAGACTTTCCAGTTTTTAGTTCCTCTCATACAACCGGGTTTTAGCCTCACTGCCATCAACCTCTAATAAGTAGGGGTGGGTTCAAAAAACCGAAAACCGAAAAAAACCGAAAACCAAACCGAACCGAAACCGAAAAAACCGAACCGAATGAAAAAACCAAACCGAATTGAAAAAACCGAACCGTACCGAATTCTTTTGATTCGGTTCGGTTTTAGTGATCTAGAAACCGAACCAAACCGAACCGAACCGAATTAATTAAATTAATTTTTTTATTTAATTATTTGTTTTGGATATTATTTTCTAAACCCAATTTGTAAATTAAAATGTGTTAAACCCAATGTGTTGCCAAACTTTAAGCTCAAAATATTAAAAAAGGCCTATAAAAACTCTAAACCCTAACCTATTATTTCTCCCCCATATAAGGTTCCGGAACCAAACCTCCTCCTGAAGTACCTATATCCATCTCCATAGCACTGTCTACTTCTGCCACAGCTTTCTTTTCCAAATCTACTCTCATATAACATGTAACAGAATCAATAAACATTTATTTCGGGTAGATTACTTGGGTAATTTGTTATGGAAAAAAAATCCAACACACACTAAATAAATCCACCCACGCATTACTTTTACTAATCAAGTTGTCAACATGCAGTTATAAGCAAACAACCCTGATCTTTGAACAACATCATACAATTGAACTTTTTTAAGTCATTTGTACGATTTTTGTGTTGTGAGGTTGTTAGTTTGGACTTTGGAAGACTTGATTGATGATTTTAGTTCAACTTTAAATGTTTATTTTCATTATCTTTGATTCTAGTTAGAATGTTTATGTTATGATTGTGTTGGATATGTTAAAATTTAAAATTTCAATGTTTTTCATTTTTTGAAAAAAAAAACAAAAAAATCGAAACCGAACCGAAAAAAAACCGAAAATAAACCGAACCGAAAAAAACCGAAAAAAAAATGAACCGAACCGAAATTTCGGTTTGGTTTCGGTTTTGGCAAAAAACCGAACCGATTTAAACCGAACCCACCCCTACTAATAAGTGCTTACAACTTGTTCAACATTGCACTATTCTGTCCACTGACCACTTGTTTTGTTGTTTATTCATACAAAAAGCAAGGGTGATCCTATTGGTAGATGTAATGATGTTGTTGATAATTGAATTATACTGATTAACGTGTTTATTTTTTATTAATAATAAATTATTTTGTTTGGAATTTAATTTAAAATTTTAATGTCCTTAACATTACCGAAAAAGTAATCACTGCTTCCGGTTGACAAGTTTAAATTACTATTTTTATAAGTGATATTCTAAATTAATTTAATTTAAATTATAAAAGAGAGATCCATTTAGGATGCAACGAAGAAAACATTAACCAATTTGATTAAGCCCACCTAAATGGAAAAGAATCCTTGGATCTTAGGGATCCCGGAATTGCGACCGTTCATTGTACATTGTACTGTCAATTTTCATTAGGTATTATTTATATTTAATTTTAAATTTTAAAATAATTTCTGACCACACGATGTACGATGAACGATCACGATCACTGGGTACTTAAGATCTCCAGAAAAATGATCCGGCGAGAATTCTTTTCCCACCTAATAAATTGCCAACTTTTAGATGCGAGTAGGTGTTGAAGCTATCTCAGTGGGTAATTGTCTTTATCATCAAATTCATAGTAAAAGAACACAAAGGAAGAGAGGAAAAAAAAAAGTAGTAGTTTGAAGCAAAGAAAAATGCAATGGGGACGGGAGTGGTAAGAGTGTGACGCCAGTTACGTATGGGAAATTTCAGCTTTGGTGGGGATTTTTCCAAGGATTATCTAGTTCTAGCATCAAGGAACAAAAAAGTCCTCAAAAAAATTATTGATTAGTCCTCAAAAAAATTATTGATTATTACCCACGCGGATGTTAGAAGTTCCTTAAACTTCAAGAGTACAATATTGGGATTTACTATAGTAATATTTCATTTACCGTCATGTAAAAAGGTTAAAAACTTAAAATATAGGACAATGCATTATTGTGGTGAAAAATCACTATAAAGACATCTTTTATTGTTATTTTATCTTGTCATAATGGCCCATTGAGTGTTACATTTGGCCAATTGAGAGATACACTATTATATTGTTCTCCCTCATACACCAACATGTGATAAGTTATTTCTAGATGTTCGTATTATATATGTGTTTGCAGTGGTTGAATTAGAATTTTCAAATAATAGGGTCTTAATTTAAAAAAAAAAAAAACTTCAATGGAGCATTTCGTTGAGCACCTATTGGGCACTTGTTGATTCCTGCCAACATTTGCCAAAAGCTTACGTGAACATATGTCGACAATTACTATGATTAGTAGAAGCTTGTCGAGGGTAGTTGTAGGAAACTGTCAAGTAATGTTGAATACTGCCAAGAATTGTCAACTGAGGCATTTCATCAAGCACTTGGTTTGCACCATAGAGTCGCATACAAGAAGAGATGGATGATAAAAGAAAACAAAATTAGAAGGAAGAAGTTATGACTTAGTTTGTCATAATTGTTTATAATGGTCAAATACAAATACAAAGTCAAATATACATAAATATTTGAAAACTTTTGAAATCATAAACAACCAATGACTCCATATTAATTCCGCCATTGCAAGCTTGTACTTTAAAATATCCGCGAACATTTGCCTAAGAAAACAACATATGTTATAAATATATCAAAGTTAGAGGGATAACCTTTTTGATAGGTGCGAAGCAGATGTAAAATATCACACTAAAACTATAGCTCAAGTGTATGACAAATAAAAGATGGAGAAGAGATTTCTTTCTTCTGTTCTTCTGTATGTCTTTCCATATATTTTGATTACATTCGAGTGCTCTATTTATAGAGCAACTCGTATTATTACAATTTGACATTTATAACAAACAGATAGAAAAACGATCTCCTGCATCCAAAGTCAATTTCCATTTTCATGGGTATTGAAAACTTATGCCAAAGTTGAAAACCCATGATGTGTGAGAATTGGAAAGTCTTCCAAGGTACTGTGGGCATTCACTACCCAGCAGTATTTTCAACACTCCCCCTTGGATGCCCACATATCAACATCAGTTGCCTCGTTAAAACCTTGCTTGGAAAAACCCAGTGGGAAAAACCATAGCTAAGGAAAAAAAGTACAACTTTACTTGGATTGTTGATATAGTGTTAAGTATGCTTATGTTGCATCATTAAAACCTTGATAGGAAAAACCCTGTGGGAAAAATCCTAATCGAAGGAAAAAGAGTACAACAAGCATGTATCATGGATGCTCCCCTTGAGATGTATCTCCCCCTCATTCCGCATTCTCCAAATTTAGCTATTTGGTAAGTCGACGTAATCCGATACTTTGCACTAACTTCTGAAACGTGCATTTTGGTAGAGACTTGGTGAACAAGTCTGCCAGATTTTCATTAGAACGGATTTGTCTGACTTCAATAACTTTAGCCTTCTGAAGCTCATGTGCACTGAAAAACTTTGGAGATATGTGTTTAGTTTTATCGCCTTTGATGAATCATTCCTTCATTTGAGCAACACAGGCTGCATTATCTTCATGAATGACAGTTGGATTATCTGTCTTCGAAGTTAGACCATATGAATTCCGAATATGATGGATCATTGATCTTAACCAAGAACATTCACGACTTGCTTCATGTAAAGCAAGTATTTCTGAATGATTTGAAGATGTAGCAACTCAGGTTTGCTTTGTTGAGCGCCATGAAATTGCTGTATCTCCATTCTTGAACACATATCCAGTTTGTGAGCGAGCTTTATGCGGATCGGAGTGGAAACCAGCATCTGCATATCCAACAAGAACCTGGTCATTTGTGGAGTTCTTTGAGTAGAAGAGACCCATGTCTGTTGTCCCACGAAGGTATCGCAATACATCTTTGACACCCTTCCAATGACGAATTGTTGGAGCAGAGCTATACCTGGCTAACAAGTTGAGCAACACAGGCTGTATTATCTTCATGAATGACAGTTGGATTATCTGTCTTCGAAGTTAGACCATATGAATTCCGAATATGATGGATCATTGATCTTAACCAAGAACATTCACGACTTGCTTCATGTAAAGCAAGTATTTCTGAATGATTTGAAGATGTAGCAACTCAGGTTTGCTTTGTTGAGCGCCATGAAATTGCTGTATCTCCATTCTTGAACACATATCCAGTTTGTGAGCGAGCTTTATGCGGATCGGAGTGGAAACCAGCATCTGCATATCCAACAAGAACCTGGTCATTTGTGGAGTTCTTTGAGTAGAAGAGACCCATGTCTGTTGTCCCACGAAGGTATCGCAATACATCTTTGACACCCTTCCAATGACGAATTGTTGGAGCAGAGCTATACCTGGCTAACAAGTTGACTGAAAAAGCTATATCTGGTCTAGTACATTGTGCTAAATACAACAAAGCACCTACTGCACTCAGATATGGTATTTCTGGACCAATGACCATTCCATCCTCTTCTTTTGGACGGAATGGATCTTTCTTAATGTCCAGAGAACGAACGACCATTGGTGTGCTGAGTGGATAAGCCTTATCCATGCCAAATCGCTTCATAATTTTTTCAATGTAAGTTGATTGGTGGACCAAAATTCCACTAGCACAATGCTCGATCTGCAGGCCGAGACAATATTTTGTTTTCCCAAGGTCTTTCATTTCAAATTCGCTTTTCAGATATTCAGCAGTTTTATGAAGCTCTTCAGGAGTTCCAACTAGGTTCATATCATCAACATATACTACTACTATAGCAAATCCAGAGTTGGATTTCTTAATGAACACACAAGGGCAAATGACATTGTTGATATACCTTTCTTTGATCAAATACTCACTGAGACGATTATACCACATTCGTCCAGATTGTTTCAGCCCATACAATGATCGCCTTAATTTGATCGAGAGCATACCTCGTGGTTTGTTACTTGTTTTAGGCAACTTAAGTCCTTCTGGGACTTTCAT